AGAAAGAAAGAAAGAAAGAAAGAAAGAAAGAAAGAAAGAAAGAAAGAAAGGCCTTTCTGTACTAACTGTAAACTTTATTCTAACCAACACCAATAATTTCTTTATTGAGGCTTTCTTGAACTCTGTGTCTAATTATTTTGTCAACACAAAAACATTATGATTTGTGAAATTTATTCTTGATATACTTTGGCTTTTGCATGACTTTTGCATCTCTGTGAAAAAAAAAGTCACACGTTCATAATTACCAACCACAACGGTTTGATCCGTGATAAAATGGACCTGCCTGGTAGGGTGTAGGAGTGAGAACCTAAATGGCCTTAGGCTAAGCTCACAAGAGAAGTACTGGCAGTAGTTATTCAGAGGCATTTGGGCCAGTTAGGGGCAGTCAGTATGAGGCTGACCCATAAGGAGGCAAGAAATGTATATGTCAGCAGGTGACTGGAATAGGGTATTGGGGAAGGGAGAGGACAAGGGCTATTTGATGACTCCTTGTGGCAAAGCAAAGGGATTCAGGCCATCAGCCTGATGAAGGCTGATCCATCAGAATGAAGGCTTCTTCCAGGAGATCCAGCCATAAGTAGTGGACACCCATTCACAGCTCCTGGCACTCAGAGGTTGTGGACAACCCTTGGGAGACCTAGTGTGAGGAATGCATCCAACTACTAGTTTTGGAGGTGCCAGGATTAAAGCAGAGAACCAAGCAGGAAATTGGAGCAGCAGGAGGGAGATGCGGGATATTGGGACAAGGCTGTATGGCAGAGGCTTTGCCACTGTGGACAGAATGGGAGTTTATTACGGAAAGGAGAAGCAGCATAACAGTGGGTCTGGCAACAGGGTTGACGATGTGGAGGTACTGAATGAAGCCTCTGTTGTCTCCTCAGGTACAGGTTTGGGAGCTATTTGACAAAGGCTTGAAGCTATAGTTTGTGAGAATGACCTTCAGTACTAGAGAGATAATGGACAATAAATCAAACTTCATTTTAGTCAAGATCCAAGGAACCTATAATGTCAAAAGTTTCTTCCACTAGTAACCATGAATTACCAAGATATACTCAAAGGTCTAGTTAAGGAATTTATTTTGTGACTGCATTGAAAACAAACTCCTCAAATAGCGCCATCCTTACTGTGCTGTGACCTGTATACTCCTAACGGTTCAGAAGAGTGAAGAAAGAAACGCTGGAAGAGAATGTGTTTAAAAATACACATTTAACCTGTTCCCCAAAGCCATACCTAAGGTGAGAAAGGTGCTGCAAGAATGTAGGAGGAGGGCTCAGGCTGACTTCTAAAGGAGGAAGAAAAAGCATACCTTGTCTAAAATGAAAGCAAAATGTAGTGACGTGGTGATATTTTATGTTCACAACTAGGTCATAACTGGGGGACTGCATTTCTAATGAGGTAGTGGTCAGGCTAGGCTGGGAGCAGGGAGAGGAAGAGCAAGGCTTCTCCCTGTGTACTCATTCCACCTGGGACCAAGTAACCACAGAAATGTGCCGCTTATCAGGAAGAATGGGTGCATGAGGTTGGGTCCAGTGGTGGGCAGGAGGGAAAATCAAGAACAGAGAATGACTTCCTGTGTCATCTTTGGCCTTTGTATAGTAGGCTGCTTATATTTGTCTTCTAGAATAGAGATTATTTTTATTGATCATGGAATGGCTATGTGATGTGTCGTCTTGGTTGAACTCCCTTCTCAGAATTCCCCTTTTTTTTTAAAAAAAAATTTTTTTTAACGTTTATTTATTTTTGAGACACAGAGAGACAGAGCATGAACAGGGGAGGGTCGGGAGACACAGAATCTGAAACAGGCTCCAGGCTCTGAGCTGTCAGCACAGAGCCCGACGCGGGGCTCGAACTCACGGACCGCGAGATCGTGACCTGAGCCGAAGTCGGCCGCTCAAACGACTGAGCCACCCAGGCGCCCCTCAGAATTCCCCTTTTGAGTTTGCTTCTGGTTCATGGGGGCTTCGAGGAAGATTGTTTCACATGACTTGGAGAGCGCAAGAAAGGCAGCAGCCATTTTGTAGCATGTACACATCTTCTTGCAGGTATTCTGCCAAATACTAATTTTGGTGTGTGTTGAAGGAGTTTCCAGATGTAATTAAAGCCCCGAGTCAGTTGATTTTGAGTTAATCAAAAGGGAGAATACCCTGGGTGGTACTGACTTAATCTGGTGCAAGTTTATTTATTTATTTATTTAAAAAAAATTTTTTTTCAACGTTTATTTATTTTTGGGACAGAGACAGACAGAGCATGAATGGGGGAGGGGCAGAGAGAGAGGGAGACACAGAATCGGAAACAGGCTCCAGGCTCTGAGCCATCAGCCCAGAGCCTAACGTGGGGCTCGAACTCACAGACCGCGAGATCGTGACCTGGCTGAAGTCGGACGCTTAACCGACTGCGCCACCCAGGCACCCCTAATCTGGTGCAAGTTTAAAGAGGGGCTACGCCATCCTTGACGTGCAGAGGCTCCAGGTAGCAGATAGGAAGGAAACCTGTAAGGTGGTTACACATTTACTTGGTTGGAATGAAGCAGCAGCTGGCCTACAAATGCCTTCCCTTTCCTGTGATCTTCCTTCAGTTTCTCTGACTTCTGAGTCAGCATATGTTTAGCTCCATGGTTAAGGCCCCTGATTCTGCACAATACCCTTGTCACCAAGGTCAGAGGCAGCAAGAATACATGTTTTAGTCTATACCTGTTGGGTTTGAGCCTCTTTGTAATCTTCATTCCTGCCTGCCTGTGTACTTTGGGCTCTAGCATTTGATGTAGAGACAACCTTGCAGAGATTGCTTAGTCTGGAATTCCCTGTAATAAGTCCACACACACACACACACACACACACACACACACACACACACGTATCTGTACAAATATGTATATATGTATGCATTTATATATTTATAATTATACCAAATATAAAATGTATATAAAAACATATGCTGCTTTTGTTTCTCTGCTTTCTCTGGTTTGGTACAGTACCCTATTTTTACCTTATTTTTGTATGTTACCTTACAGTTTACCAAGCATCTCCACATATTCCGTGTTTTAGATTTCAATTTTGTGATTAATTCTAATATATCAAGAAATGAAAGAAAAAATACAGAGAATTTAGCAAAGGTTTGGTTTTGCCCATTATTACAGATTTTGAGGTGGGAGTGAAATGGGTAGGGAAATCTGGGTGCAGAGAGATCTTAAAGAAGTAACAGATCTACAAATTCAAAAAATAATACAAAACCTATGCAACAGGTATTCTGTATTCTCTCATGTATTGCTTAGATATAACAGTTCCAATTTAATCAACAGTAGGCATTATGTTCCAGGCTGGCCACTCTCTAGAAATATTTAATCTCTTGAACAATGAAAGTCACTATTGAAAAGGTTATGTATATATACATATATTTATACAGACACAAATATTTTTTTCCCCTGTAACAACAAAAGGTATGGAATACTGGAACAAAGTGATAATTTTGGAAATAACAGTAAGTTTATAACTGAATAGGCATCAAACACCGATATTTAACTCTTCATTGTTTTTCTTCTCTTTCAGGCTTTATGAAAACCGAGAAAGCCACTGTTCATGCAGAGTGGAAATAACGTTGTAATCCCACTTGGATCAGTCTTAGTGAGGACCACTAATTGCAAAACAACTTTCCCCACCATGGTTGAGGGAGGGCCCATGGGAAGAGGGCATCTGACTTAAGCAGGAAGAGGAGGATCCTCCCTCAGGATATTATGCCTGCATCGCCATGCCTTCCCACGTGGTAAAGCCTTGAGAGAAGGGTTGATAGTGGTCCACACCATGTCTTCCATAGTGCGCAAGAAAGTCTGCAGTAAGAGCCAATAAAGTGACACCACAGGGAGAGGAAAGAAAAGGGCCAGTGAAGGGGGAAACCTGCTAGTTTCGTGGGAGGTTCCAGCTGCCTCTAAGACCCTGACTCTCCTGAGGGTAGCTAAATTTTGGATTATTATAAATTGCATTTTAAAGAGCAGATGAAGAGCCCTAGGGAATAAGGATGGGTGCGGTGTTCTCCCTCTTTCTTTTAAGATTCTTGCATTCCAGGGTGCAAAGTTGAGTCAGAGTCAGGTTTGCTCAGGGGCCAGAACTTGAATCTCTATGGCCGGCAGAGATGTAAGTGGAATGGAACAGTTCTGGGGATTAATCTTTTTGCAGACTGGATGGGCCCACAGAACTGGAAGCGAGACCTGAGGTGTACTTGCTGTAAAGTTGAACATGTCTTTTCTTGAAAAGTAAGGGTAAAAATGGGGGGAAGTCACGAAAGGAGGAAGTATTTTGAGAAAATTTTAAATGCCCCCTATTATTTTGTAGTTGTGGGATTTGGGTTTAATTTGAATCTGTAAACTCTCAGAGGGCATCTGTAGGCATTTAGAAAAGGGTGGTTAATTTGCAGCAGATACTAGCTTTTGTGCAAAGGCAGAAAGATGTACTGTAACATATGATGCAGATCACTTTAGAGTAATTGAACCATGGCTTTTGCATGCTTTCGATCCGAAGCTTATCTCCATCTGAAGCCTGTAGAAAGTCTTTTCCCATTTACATAACAGGGCAAGAGATTATTACAACTAAAATTAGATCCATGAATTGCTATGCACAGTGCTTTGTAGCATAATCAAATTATGATAAAATAGCCTTTATTTCTCTATTGCTATATAATATAGTTAGGTTCTTTAGTAATTTGTTTGGAAGTAAAGGAGTGGCTGTGCGATCTTATTACACTAAAGTATCGCTGATTTTTGGCCAAATTGACAACCTTGCTTGATTGTTTTTTAGAGATGTTTATTTGAAGAATGGGAAGGATCCTGATAAGGCCTAATTTGTTTTCCTTTCTTTACCCCTGCCCTTGCCTTTTAAAAAAATATGGGCCACAGCTCATGAGTTCTTCCTGCTTACCCTTATCACTTAACCTGATAATACCATCCCAAGAAAGTGGTTCCTGTTCATTTGATATTACCAGATAAAGTCAAAAGCCTTATGCCTTCCCAGCACTGAACATTCCTTAGCTGTTTTCTCTCAGATTCTGAACAGGGCAAATCACAAGAACCTTGTTGGTTAAATTATTCTTGTTTAGATGTAAATATGGGAGGGGAGGGAAAACAACCAAATTGTTGAGAAAATAAATGAGGAAGTAGGGGAGAGGGGAAGGTGGAAATTAAGACTGAGTAACAGCAAAAAATGATCAGAAAGAAGAGAAGAGGAAATAGATCACAAGGATATGGGTATGAGGGAAAAGGAGGATAGAGAGACAGCAAAACATAATCCAATGGAAGCCTGTAACATGGTGTAAGAGCAGATTTCCATACCATTTTGAGGCTCTGAAAGTTTCCTGATGACTCTATTCAGCAGAACCCCCACTCCCGCCCCATTCTATATTACTGTTAATGCTAAAGGTAGCAGTAGCTGCAGAGGTGGCATTTTCCTCTAATTTAATTTTCAGTTACTGAACTCAGTTACTGACTCTTTACAGCCTGAGGGAAGACGAGCCTTTGTTAAAGCAGTGGCCGTTCACTTTCACTTTTCTTTTCAACCTCATTAGATTTCCTGAGGTTTAGTTCTAGACCTAAAGCACTGCACTGTGGCAAAACTATGTAAAATAACGTTTTTGGTGAAAAGCAACACCTGCAAAAATGTCACACAAATTTCAAGTTCACTGGTATCTAGTGATGTCACCGAGTGAAATCCTTGTGCAGAAAATGCAACTAATAGGGTATTAAATTTGTTATAGCCTGTGACTTCCTTCATGGCATCGTGTGGTGCAATGATGAGCCAGAAAGGCTTCTTGTCTGGTGGCACCTTTGTATGTGTGCTCAATGGGTAGCACAGCCACATGGGCATTAGCCTCATTGAGATAGGATTTGAAAGGGAGTTGCTAATCTCAGTCCACATTGGGTGTCAGAATTCTGCTTTAATCCATGTAGGATGAGCCATTCCCCGTGTACAGGGAGATTCATTACAAAAATGGCAGTTTTGATTCCTTGAAAATGACTAAATCCTAGAAGGAGAATGTATGATTGATTGTGAACGATAATGTAAATGATCTATAAAGGTTATATAATGATTCTGTGATCTGTCTCTAGTTACATGTTTTTCAGGGCATTGTTGCTCTGCTGGCCTGATGTGTGGCCCCTGGGTTGGTGCCCTGTCCCAGATGGGCAGGCACCACCAGAAAGGTTTTATTGCCTCAGGACTCCCTTTGCTACACACAGAGTCTCTGTTCCTCTGGTCTTTGTGGCAGTTGTTTTCTCTCCTCTGGTGGGATGTAGATATTTTAAACCCACCTAAATGAGAGCAGTCCCTCCTTTGAGGAGTGTAAATCTAACTGGATCCACCATTTGCTCAGTGCCATGGCACTGTCTGTGTAGCACCACTGAACTTTCTGTAAGCAGCAGTAACTTGAAGTGTACTGCAGACAACTTCTGCTATATCACGTACACTTGCTTTACTTGAGATACCAGTTGGGCAAGAAAAATTCTAAAGAATAATTATATTGAAGAGTTACTAACAAAAACCTTAGCTTGCTAGATGACTAAAACGTTTTATATTTTATTCTCAATTAAAGACGTGATGAAATAAAGTGAGATGTATTTGATAGTAGGAAATGTGTCAGATTTCATTTGGGCTTGTTGTAGAGTAGTATTTTACAGACTTTTGAAAAACATACAGTAAGCAGGGAGCCTGCGTGGCTCAGTTGGTTAAGCATCTGACTCTTGATTTCAGCTCAGGTCACAATCCCAGGGTCATGGGATTGAGCCCCACATTGGGCTCTGTGCTGAGCATGGAACTTGCTTAAGATTCTCTCTCTCTCTCTAAGATAACATATATATATATAGGTATACATATACATATATATATATACACATACAAATATATACATATACATATATATACATACAAATATACATATATATTTACATATATATACATAACATGTATTTCTTAATATAATACATATATATTAAGAAATACATTTTATGTCATGACCCATTTACTGAAATTTACACAGGTCTTCCTAAGAAGTCATGTGATGTGTTTTGCCTGTTTCACGTCTGTCCTGTTGTATTTATTTCATTTAAAAATGCTAGTTAGAACCCACTACCTTTATTTCATTACCCAGCAATAGGTAGTGACAAATTGTAAACACTTTTTCTAGGATTTGGAGGAAAAGAAGCAAAAAGGGTAGGAAAAAGTTCAACTTAATGGAAATTAAGTAGTAGACATGTGAGTATGAGTATAGACTCTTTTTTTTTTTTTAATTTTTTTTTTCAACGTTTATTTATTTTTGGGACAGAGAGAGACAGAGCATAAACGGGGGAGGGGCAGAGAGAGAGGGAGACACAGATTCCGAAACAGGCTCCAGGCTCTGAGCCATCAGCCCAGAGCCCAACGCGGGGCTCGAACCCACGGACCGCGAGATCGTGACCCGGCTGAAGTCGGACGCTTAACCGACTGCGCCACCCAGGCGCCCCGTGAGTATAGACTCTAAACACACACTAGGTGTTTTGTTTTGGTTGTTTTAAGCATTGAATTTAACTTCTGATTATTATTTTAAAAGATCTTGATGGTAACTTGTTACACTGCCTTTAATATGAGATTTCAGACCAGTTTGTATGGAAACATAGCATTAAGGCTCTGTATGGTTATTATCTTATTTAACCTTCAAAATAACACTAAGAGAGAAATCATTTATCACATGAAGAAGCTGAGGTTAAAATTAGGCAGTTTGCATATTTGGAACCTTTCTTGCTTCTTGAGATAGGCCTGAATTGCAATATACGTTTCCTCTTAGGACTGCCTTTGCTGCAGCCCAAAGGGTTTGGACTGTCATGTTTTCATTTTCATTGCTTCCATGTATTTTTAAAAATTTCTTCTTTAATTTCCTGATTAACCCATTCATTCTTTAGTAGGATGTTCTTTAACTTCCATGTATTTGAAGGCTTTCCAAATTTTTCTTGTGGTTAACTTCAAGTTTTGTAGTGTTGTGATAAAAAAAATGCATGGTATGACCTCAGTCTTTTTGCACTTGTTGAGGGCTGAGACAGGAAGCCATCAAAATCCTAGAAGAGAACACAGGCAGCAACCTCTTTGACTGTGGCCACAGCAACTTCTTACCAGACACATAGCTGAAGACAAGGGGAAAAAAGCAAACATGAACTATTGGGACTTCATCAAGATAAAAAGCTTCTGCATAGTGAAAGAAACAATCAACAAAACTAAAAGGCAGCCTATGGAAAGGGAGAAGATATTTGCAAATGACGAATCTAATAAAGAGTAGCCAAAATCTATAAAGAACTTACCAAACTGAGTACCACCCCCCAGAAAAGCAACCTAGTTAAGAAATGGGCAGAAGACATGAATAGACATTTTTCCAAAGAAGATACCTAGATGGCAAACAGACACGTGAAAAGATGCTCAAAATCACTCATCATCAGGGAAATACAAATTAAAACCATGATGAGATACCACCTCACACCTGTCAGAATGGCTAAAACCAACACAAGAAACAACAGGTGTTGATGAGGATGCAGAGAAAGGGGAACCCTCTTGCATTGCTGGTGGGAATGCAAACTTGTCCAGCCACTCTGGAAAACAGTATGGAGGTTCCTCAAAAAATTGCAAATAGAACTGCCTTCCAATCCAGCAATTGCAGTATTAGGTATTTTCTCAAAGGATACAAAAATACAAATTTGAAGGGGTACATGCTGCCCAATATTTATAGCAGCATTATCAAACAATAACCAAATATGGAGAGAGCCCAATGTCCATCAACTGATGAATGGATAAAGATGTGGTATACACACACACACACACACACACACACACACACACACACAAAATGGACTATTACTCAACCATCAAAAGTAATGAAACCTTGCCATTTTGCAATGAGCTAGAATGTATTATGCTAAGTGAAATGACTCAGTCAGAGATAGACAAATACCATATGATTTCACACATATGTGGA